GGCCGCGCTCTCCCACGGGGGCGGGGCGGGGCAGGCGGCGCCCCCAGCGCGCAGGCGGCGGACTCAGGCCAGGACTTCCCTCAGTCAGGAGGAGGCGCGGGCCGTGGACGAGGAGCTATTTAACGAGTACCAGTTCAGCGTGGATCAACTCATGGAGCTGGCCGGGCTGAGCTGTGCCACGGCCATTGCCAAGGTAGGTGGCACAGTGTAACGCCTTTGTGAAGAACGGGTCGGGAGGCCTCCCGCGGAGGAGCAGAGGGCGGTGACTGCCAGACCCTTTGCGCTTCTGCCCTCAGGCTTATCCTCCCACGTCCATGTCCAAGAGCCCCCCGACCGTCTTGGTCATCTGTGGCCCCGGGAATAACGGAGGGGACGGCCTGGTCTGTGCGCGACACCTCAAACTTTTTGTGAGTATACGAGCCTAGTGTTCGTGGAAAGTTATAAGGAGTTAGGTATCAGAGGTTGAGTAGCTACTTTCCTTTTCATCTAGGGCTACCAGCCAACTATCTATTACCCCAAAAGATCTAACAAGCCACTCTTCACTGGACTAGTGACTCAGTGTCAGAAAATGGACATTCCTTTTCTTAACGAAATGCCTCCAGAGGTAGGTGACTTGATATATCTCATCTCCCCAGTTAACTACTGCGTCTGCCTTCCCTTTATGTTTTCTGACCAAGCTGGCCTGTCTAATGTCTGCCTGCCATAAAAGTTGCTCTCTGAATAGCAGTGGTGCAGGAGCCCCTCCATATTGTGTTCTCCACGACTTCCCAACAGTAGCAGCTCTAGGCAGCCCTATTCTGCAGTCAGCTGTCTCCCCTTGCATGCATTTAGCTCTCATCTGACTCTCCGGGCCTTATCCTAAACCTTTTCTGTAAATACATGGACTTAGGGGTGGGAAATCTAGAATGTAAAGAACTAACTTATTCTGTAGATGAAGATACTGACATGTAGAGAAACGGTTTGCCCAACATCACAGAATTGGAGCAAGGCAAAGCTAAGACAAAACTGGTCCCTTCTGGCTTCCAGTGTCAGACTCCCCTACACTGTCAGCCCCTTCCTTCCCGCTGGCAGGCAGGCAGGCAGAACGAATAAAAAATATGCCTGGATTCAGAATGGCCTTACTCTCTGCACTTAAGGAAACGATTACATCCATGCCTCTGGTCTGTGGGTGCAGGGACAGCCCTCCCTGTGTGATAGTAGTTCTGACATTCTTCCTGCTCCCCCACAGCCCATGATGGTTGATGAGCTGTATGAGCTGGTGGTGGATGCCATCTTTGGCTTCAGCTTCAAGGGTGATGTCCGGGAGCCATTCCACAGCATCCTGAGCGTCCTGAGTGGACTCACCGTGCCCATTGCTAGCATCGACATTCCCTCAGGTGCCGGGACCCAGATGGTTGGGTGACTGGTGCTCTATCCTGTCTTCAGGCTGGTACCCAGGGGACTGGATTCTTGATTCACAGTGTAGATCAGATCTAAAATAATCTGAATGTACCTTTCCATGTCCCACATTAGGGAGCAAAGTTCATGCTGGCCCTGAGAGTTTCTCAAGTGGGGACTGGGAGTTTCCCTCTTTAGGACTAGGCCTTCTGTACTTTCTTATACTACTTTCTCCTTTCAGGATGGGATGTAGAGAAGGGAAACCCTGGAGGAATCCAACCAGACTTACTCATCTCACTGACAGCACCAAAGAAGTCTGCAGCCCATTTTACCGGCCGATATCATTACCTGGGGGGTCGTTTTGTACCACCTGCTCTAGAAAAGAAGTACCAGCTGAACCTGCCATCCTACCCTGACACAGAGTGTGTTTACCGTCTACAGTAAGGGAGGTGGGTGGCAGTTTTCTAATAAAGACTTGGTACCTTGTATCTTTAAACTGGAGTCTTCTGGACTCAATAATTGCCAGTAGGTTATACTTTCTTTGGAAGCTGTCCTGGAACTAGCTCTTGTAGACCAGCTGGTCTCGAACTCACAGAGATCCGCCTGCCTCTGCCTCCCGAGTGCTGGGATTAAAGGCGTGTGCCACCAACGCCGGCTCAGACCAGACATTTGTAAGCAATGGGAAATAACGCCATTGCTACATCAGGTGTGATAGCCTTTACCCAGGAATGATTCTTACTTATTTGTGATACACAGGGAGGTAGATGGCACCTCTAAATAAACTCAGCTTAGCACTGTAGCAAGACCCCAAGAGGGTAACAAAGAATTTTTTCAAAGGTCTCCAAGGGCCATCTGATTTGTTTTCAGACCTTCTCATGCTGGAAATGATTGTGTTAACTGGGAATAACCATAGGCTTGGGGCCCAAGCTCTCATTTAAGTGTCATGAGAAACAGGAAGTCTGGAAGGCTAACCCAACCCATACATTTAAATGTGTTTTTCTTAATCTTCACAGTCTGTAGGGTATGGTAGTACAGGCCTTTGATCCCAGCACTCTTAAGGTAGAGGCAGGTGGATGTTTGTGAGTTCTAGGAAAGCAAGAGCTATGTTAGAGAACCCCTGTTTCAAAAAACCAACCAAAGTCTTTCACATAAGAGTACATTTTCAGACTTTTAGCAGAGACTTCCTGATTCCTCTTCCCACCATCCTTTAGCTGGTGAGCTGCTGGACACCAGGGTCTATACTTTTTGGAAAGGAAGTTGTACAGGAGACATCCACCCCTCAGCCGACTGGTGCTCCTGAACTTCTGCAGAGGGGTGTGAAGAAACCTTGCCCAAACCCAGACCACTCTGAAAAGTCATCAGCAGACCTACACTGTAGACCGTCAGTCCCTCTTCCGCTTCTTCTTTTTGGCTCTCTGGTCAGTGTTGATGCCAGCTCTCTCCTTGGGATGTGGCTGACTTCTCTCACCTTCATTCTCTACTTCCCAAGTCCTGTCATCATCGTCTTTATTGCTCACATCCAAGACTACCTCTTCAAGACACTGCTGTCTTTTCTTCTTGCCTCTTCTGACCTTTCTCTCTGCTTTTGTTAGGCCATTCTTCCCTTCATCTTGGGTGTCCAAGTCATCCCCACTCTGCTGAGACTTCTTACTGCTTCTCCATGGATCTGGGTCTGCTCCACTGTCCACTGCCTTTGGCCTGCCTGTCATATCTCTGCCTCTTTCATCACAGACTTCCATCTTCCCCTCTTCTTCATGGTGCCGCCTCCTCTTTTTCTTCCTTTTCCTAGAAGACTGGTCAGATTGCTCTGTGCTCTGTTCTCCAGGCCCACTTGCTCCTTCAGCCTCTTCCTCCCCACTTCCTACAGCCATTTCCTCTCTCTGGTCTTTCCGCCTCCTTTTCTTCTTCTCCCTTTTCTTGAAGCTCTGAGGGTCAGTGTGTTCTAGGAGCTCCTCACTAACATTCTTTTCGGTTGTTGCAGTCTCTTCCTCCTCTTTCTGCTTCCTCTTCTTTTTCTTTTTGTGGGAGGGCTCCTTGTCAGTGTGTGGTTGAGAGGTGCCTACATCCTTTGAACCTTTGAGCCGAGCCAGGAAGGCCTGCTCTTGGGCTTCCAGGCGAGCAAGCTTGGCCTTCATTGTGATTCCAATCCGGGCAGCCCTAAGAGATGGGTTCAAGTCAGCAAGGACATTACATAGAAAGTTGGGAACAGAGGGAGGGAAGCTGCCTGACTTCAAACACAAATGTGTCAACAACAGGAATTATTTGCCTGGAAGAAAAATATTTGAGAGGTGACGCAAGCTATTCTTTTTTTTTTTTGCTTTTTTTTTTTTTTTTTTTTATTAGTTCTAGTTAGGGAACAAGCTTATTTCAAGTCCCTTCTCCCTCTCCCTCCCGACGCAAGCTATTCTAAAGCATAGGCAGAAAGATGGGAGACCCAGAAGGCAACCACAACTTACTTGTGTGCTGTTCGCCCCTCACAAGCTTTGAGTAGCATTTCATCAGTCAGACTGTAAGGGTAGATGACAAGTCAAACAGATGGTGAGAAGACTTGATTTTTTTTTTTTTTTTCTGTCTTAAAAAATGTACATCTCCACTATTTCTTGTCCAAAACCTGGCACTTTTTGAAGGACTAAGAATACAAAGATTAGAGAAGGCAACTGGGATTGTCATGTAAATCAATCTTGTTTCTAATTCAAATAAAAAAATAAGTAAAAAAAAAAAAAAGAACACAAAGATTAGCACAATCTAATTAATTCTACAACCCCCGCCCCCATCCCTGAAGAGCATTAGGTTTATTCATCCATTCTCTTAAGATCCCAAAGCATCTCCTCCCACATCCTCAGCACAAAATAAAGTCTCACATCTTTGGAGGCGTGGGCTCATGGCTGTCATCATCACTGCCGCTCTCTCTGTCAGGCTTCTCTTCACCTGAGGTCAGTGTGGCTGTCTGGAGGAAAAGGATCATGGAGATGGATAAAGCCAGCCCAACACCATTACCAACCCTTTCAGAAGCCCCTAGGAACTCACGGCCGAAGCGGTGAATCTGACAGCCCTCACCACTGTTCCCTTCAGAGTCATGCAGCCTGTATATTTCAATTTGGACAGTTACTGGGAAGTGCAGCAGCCAGGGCTTCTCTGGCTCACAGCAGGCTGACTGAAGAACAACCAGGGAAAAGTGTTCTTCACTTTTAGGTTTTCACAGTGGAGTAGGTGCCAGTAACTGACAATAGAGACAGCACTCCTATTGCTGGTATTTTTGTTTAACTAGATTAACAGAACCTATTATGGGCCATGTAGCTCAGGATAGAGTAGAATGGCAATGAAATGGGTCCAGGTGCGGAGACAGCTCACCTGGTAACAACACTTAATGTGCAAGCATGAGGACCTAGTGCAGATCCCCAGCACCCACATAAATGTCAGGCAGGCATGGCTACCCACCTGTAATCCCTGGGGTCCCTGGAGCAAGCTAGCTAGGTGCTAAACTATACAGATTGGCAAGCGGATTCAAGTAAGAGATCTTAGTTCAGTATATAAGGTAGAGATCAAAAAAAGATACCTAATGTCAACCTCTGGCCTCTATATGCATACACATGTATGAGCACCTGCACACAAAAGTGCTCATATATGTGAACACGTATACATGCGCGTGCACACGTGTACACGTACACGTACACACACACACACACACAGAATTCGATGGGTCAAGTTTCCAGTCCAGATGTAATTACATGGGCAGTTAGGATGAACGTTGCCTGTCCCATAGATAACTCAGGCCAGGGTTTGGGCAGTGGTTTCTAGAAGGTGCTATGTATAATCTCAATCTGAAAGTCAAGAAATGTTAGCAGGTAAATGGCAAAGGCAGAGAAAGGGTAGGTGGGAGAACACAGCTTCTAGAAGAAGAAACAGAGCTGCTTCTGCCCCAGAGAGAACAGGTGGGAGTAAGACAAGAAGCATAAAGGGCCATGCAAGTCAATCTCATTAAATAGGGAGGAGCCAGACAGTGGTATTGCACACTTTTAAACCCAGCACTCCAGAGGCAGAGGCAGGCGGATCTCTGAGTTTGAGGCCAGCTTGGTCTACAGAGTGAGTTCCAGGGCAACCAGGGAGAATCTGTCTTGAAAAACAATAACAAACAAAAAGGATCATGATACAATTTGTGTTTTGGAAAGAACCCTATGGATGTTTTGTAGAACAGAGTCAGCTGACTATGGTGCAGAATGAGACCAGAGGCAGAGTATCTTAGAGGCAAAGACTGCCTGAACTAAAATAGTAAATGCCAACAGATGCAGAAACTGGGAAGGGTTGCTAGATAACTTGGGAAGCGCCGAGCAGAGTCTATGCTCGCTAACTTCTGGCTTTCTATAGCTATAGTGAAAAAGCTGGGAAGCCTGGGTTCTATTCTTTCTGTCTTTACTAGCCAGCTGTGGGTTCTTCAGTAATCCATTTTCTACACTTTGGGGCACACATGTAAAATAAAGATGGATTAAGTAACCAACCTTCAGGGTTCTTCTGTCTTCTAAATCTTTTTAAATTAGACACCAACACTTCCACCCCAGCAGCTCTTAACTAAATGATGGCTCTCCCTCTACTGTTCAGTGCTGCCCCGCAGCGGATGGCAGGGTCCATGGAACCTTAATACCTCAATTCTGGAGGGGGGCATGGGCCTTAGTCTAAGCACAGCGAGGTTGGACATGGGATCTGGGTATGCTAGGATATCCTGGGAACTAGTTCATCACACAAGGCAATCGATCAGGACCCAGGGGAAATAGGGGAGCAGTAAAGAGCTGAACCTCTCACTCTGGTACCTTCACAAACTTCTGATACAGCAAATTGGACTTGGGGTGACTGCGCTGGGTGGTCTCCTTGGAAAGGCGCCTTATCTGCACTCCATCCTGTTGGAAGGCATCAGTGAGGAAGCGACATGCTCTACCTCCCTGCCCCATCCCAGACGTACCTGACAAGCTCATACCTTCCCTGTGTCCACTACCAAGCTGGCTGCAGTCTTGTTGAAGAGATCACTCCACCAGTGGTCTGTAAACTCCTTGGCAGGGTCGTGTCCCACCTCCAGAATAATAAATGAAAGTCACAGTCTGAGCACCGCCCACCAGCCCTCATGGGTGCCCTTTCACATTCATGCTGACCCACCCCCCCAGGCTTACCCCATGGGTATCTTGCTTCAGTGTGACCTTGAGGGCCTGGGTGATGCCATTCTCTTTGCGGCCCAGACCCTTGCCTGTAGAGGACAGTGAATGACTTATTTTGTAACCTGCCCTGAGCCCTCACCATGACTTCCTGGGCCAACTGCCACTCCTCTCACTGATCACTGGTATACTGTGTACCCTTCAGAAATCTATGTCACTCCATCCTTTCTCGTACTGCTTCACAAGTGCCTCCGTCTGACCTGGAATGATCTTTTTTTGTTGTATTTCCTCCTTCAGTCTGCCCTCAATATCCTCCATTGTCCAAGAATGAGAATTTCATCCATTCTCCCCTTTTCCAGCTAGATCAGGAAATTTATGCTTCTAAGGTTTTCTCTTTAAACTAGTTTCTCCTATGGTTGAATTGACATGGGGCAAAGGAAACGAGGGAGTTGGGAGGATATGGAAGGGCCCTAGAACACCTTGAGTCCATCCATGCTTTAGCAGCTGCTCTTCAGCAAACTTCATCCCACGACTCTTGACCTCTGGGGTGACACTCATGGTGGGCAGAGGCTCTGTCCTCAGGTTTTCACCAGGGGTGAAGATGTGGCACCATCCTTTGAATAGGAAAAGAAATGACTGGAGATGCAGCTTAGACAGCGGAACACCTGGGTAATACACCTACAGCCCCAGGTTTCAAGCTCCAGCATCCTGTAGCACACATCTGTGGAGGCAAGAGGATCAGAAGTTCATACCATCCACAACTATATAGAAAGGCTGAGCCAGCAACCTATGCTATGAGACCCTAAGTGAGTGAAAAAGAAAAGGGTGGTACTATGTGCCTATGGCTATTTCAGTAGGTACAATGCTTGCCTAGCCTGCATGAGGCCCTGGGTTCAATTCCCCAGCACCATTCACTGGCCTTGACTCCTAAACTATAGGAAGCTACCACAGAGAGATGGATCAGTGGGTAAAGATGCTTCCAGCCAAACCCATGACCTGAGTTTGAATCTACAGACTTACTCAGTGGAAGGAGAGAACTGGCTTCCATGGGCTGTCTTCAGCCCTCCATACCCTTGCACACTCACACACACAGATAGACACAGACAGACAGACACAGACACACACACAGACACACAGACACACACACACACACACACACACACACACACACACACACACACACGGAATTTAAACCAGAAAGTCTGTCTGCAGAGTCTGTAAGATCTCCCCAAATATATTACCCTGTAAAAACAAAGCTATGAGGTGTTTGCTACCTTGAGCTACAGACTGGTACTTAAGAGAGCCTACCATCTATACCTGTGCTCCAGCATTTGTACTGTCTTAGTATGGGAACCAACATTCCGTCCACATTACTGGTGTAGTTCAGGTTTCAGAAGCTTCCCTTTAAACTGTCCAGCTCAGGAAGGGGATGCTAACTGAACACTAAATAAACAAAGATGGGTGTCACATGCTATCACCTCATTTATTATGTCAAATCACCTCATTATACTTCATAGATAATCCTGTCTGATAGGGATTAACCTCATCCTGTAAGTGAGGAAAAAAGGACCTGGGTTTCTTGACTGAAGACCTATTCAGGCAGTTTGAAGACCTGTTCAGCCCAAATTGCATGATTCTAAGTAACTGCATTTTCTTTACAGTAACTCACACATACTTCCTGTTGAACCCAACTTGTGTATTAAAGTTTCCTCCAAAATGGTTAAGATGACACCTCACCCTGAAAGCAGACTACCAGTATCAGTTTGTGCTAAGATCATTTGTTATGGGCATAGGAGACAATTACTTTTTGTCTTTGTTTTGAGACTATGGATCTCTCATTAGCCTGAAACTCTGTGTAGATCAGGCTTGCCTACCAAGTGCTAGGATCAATGCTGTGTGCCACCATCCTGCTGCAGAACACTGTCAAAGCTGACTAAGGGGATGACTAGAGTAAATCTGGAGCTTCTCAAAGAGACAGTTTAAATGGCAAAACTTTCATTAGATTTAGTCTATTAAATACCCTTTAGAGTATCCAAAGAACTTCAGCAAATGTTCTTAAACATTATATATTAAGTTTAAGAACGATGAGCAGAATTTCTGTCCAACAGAAGGTGACATCCAGGCATGGGCTGTCCAAGTCTCCCAAGGAATAACCTGGAGAAAGGTATTTAATAAATGTAAGATTCAGGGGACACCTGACTGTTTCTAGCTGTAATAGCAAATCGAGAACTTTATAAAGCAGGAGACAGAAATCCAGAGTCTGATCTGGGAGCTCTCTATTAGTTAGTAGGAGTGTCAGCATCAGATTGTAGGAGACAGGGCTTAAGAGAGAGACTTGGACCTGCACTGTACCACAGTAATTCCATAATAGACACTTCAAAGAGCAGAGTGAGACAGATTCACACAAGAACACTTCAGCAGGTGCTGAGATGCCAGGCTTTCACTGGCACTGCTAGAACAGCTAGCTGTAAACACCATTTCAAAAGGGCCCCCTTTTATGGACTGCACTCTTGGGAAACACACAGCATCACAGCAAGTGACTCAGAAGCTTCTAGACTTCGGGGAAAGGTCTTTGAATCATTAGTCATTGGTGTGGAAACTTGGTGGGACCAGAGTCTGCAGGGGAACTTAAACACACATGTCAAGCAGTGTGCTGATGATGCAGGGATCACACAGGGCAGGCCCAGCACTTGCACCTGAGACTCCACCTGTGAGACGCTGCTCAGACCATGATTGTAACACTAGCTCCCAAAGACTGACTTCTGGGAACCTGGGAAGGATCTCAGAGAGACTCAAACTCAACACTGAATCAGCAAGCCAACCAAAGGCCAGATTGTTTTCATACTTTTCTTTACACCCCTTCCCCACAACACACTGCTCTCTAACACCTGGTGTTAATTTAGCCTGCTCTGTCCTGTTCTCCTCCTCTCTCCCAAAGAACACACACTGGCCAGGTCTACAGGGCCTTCTCCTGAAAGCTGGGACTGTTCTTGGTTATATGATTGTGCTTTTTTTGTTTGTTTGTTTTTTGATTTTTTGAGACAGGGTTTCTCTGTGACTTTGAAGGCTGTCCTGGAACTTGCTCTGTAGACCAGGCTGGTCTCAAACTCACAGAGATCCGACTGCCTCTGCCTCCTGAGTGCTGGGATTAAAGGCATGTGCCACCAACGCTTGGCAATGATTGTGTTTCTTAACCTTTCTCTTTTCAGTTTACCTCAACGGGAGGGCCTAACCCCTGCCCTACCATTTCTTCTTTGTATATTTCCTCCCTACTTTTTCTCTGCCAACCCAGAACTAAATCACATGTTTCACCCTAAGTTTTTCCCCCTATGCACAATGTTCCATTACTTCCTAAAATGACTGATGCTTACTTGGCTATTACTGTACTTCATAGTAGGCTTACTCTTTGATACTGTTTGTGCAGACAATATTCTAATTCCAGGGGAGCAATGGGATAAAGCTGGATGTCCTGATCTAGCAGAGGAAAACAATACCTTAACACTAGAACAGCCTAGGCCCTCTTGGACATTGTAAACACTTCTGACAGAATAAAGATGTTTTTAATAACAATTCTCTTTTTGAACTTTAGTTGTATGAGTGTTTTGCCTGCATATATGTGTACCATGTGCATACAATGCCCTTAGAAACCAGAAGAGGGCATTAGATGCTCTGGAACTAGTATTATAAATGGTTGGAAGCCACCATGTGGGTGCTGGGAACTAACTCAGATCCTTTGGAAGAGCAGTAAGTACTCTTAACCCCTGGCCATTTCTCCAGCCCACTAAATAAATTCCACCAATGGCTCAATTCCTGAGGCATAAGTCTCAAGAACACCAGACACCAAGGCAACATAACTCCTCCAAAATGTAAGATATCAGGAGATAAAAGGTGGCCAGGAGTTTAAGACAGGACTTTAAAAGCAACAGTACCACGTAAAAAGCCAGGCACAATGATGTGTACTTGTAATTCCAGTGCTGGGAGACAGAGACAGAGACAGGAAGATCTCCAGGGCTTTATGGAGACTGCCTGAAAAAACAGGTGGTTGATTCCTGAGAAATCAGACCTAAGGTTGACCTCTGGTCTCCATATGCATGCACACCCATACACACAAATGTGCATGCCCCCCCCCCACACATTTGAAAAAAAACCAAACCAACAAAAAGCCCCAGAGTCTGGAGAGATGGCTCAGTGGTTAAGAGAACTGACTGCTCTTCCAGAGGACCTGGGTTTGATTCCTAGCAACCACATGGTGGTTCACAACCTTCAGTTCCAAAGGTTGACACTCTCGTCTGGTCTCCTCAGGGAACCAGGCAGACACACAGACATACAAACAGGTAAAACACCCATACACATAAGTTATTTTTAGGGTTATTATTTATTTATTGAATTAAGTCACTAAATCTGTGGCAGTTCTATACATAGCAATGAAGCTAATGCACAGAATAATGACTAAAGGCTATTCCAGAAGTTATTGAGATGATGTATAAAACGACAGTTTTGGGGTCTGGAGAGATGGTTCAATGGTTAGGCACTTGCTGCTCTTGAAGAGAACGGGTTTGGTTCCCAGCAAGCACAATGCAGCTTACAACCCCCCACACCCTCTTATTGCCATTAGGCATGTATCAGATATACATTCATGCAAGCAGGCAAAACACTTGTATACTTAAAAATAAAATTTGAAATGTAATAGAACAGTCCCGGCAGCCCTGAATGGTGATGCAAAATAAACAGAGACCTGCAGATCTGAGTGAGGGAGGCCAGTCCGTCTACATACTGAGTTCCAGGCCAGAAAAGGGGACATAGTGAGACCCTATCTCAAATAAATAAATAGATAGGTAAACAAGTGAATTCAGTTCTCAAAATATGACATAGGCCCCTTTGGGTTGAGACCTTCCCAGAGGCCCAGGAGGTCAAACTCTTTACTCAGAAATCCTCCCATGTCACTTTCCCTCTCTCTCTTTTGATTGCATAGACTGTGTAGTTTCCCAGGTACCACTTGAGTGACAACATTACTCTGTTGAGAGAATATGCCCTGTGTACTCTAGCGTCTATGAACACAAAACCTTTTAAGGGGGGTGGGGCTGAGGGTAGCAGGCATGTCAGGTATAAAGAGGAGCACATTCAGGACAAATTACATTTCTATCCACCTTTCCACTAGGAAAGACGATTCCATGAAGCCCAAGTAATAGCTGAATCTTGAGCACAGCAACAGAAAAAACCCTCTTCGTTTTTTGTTTTTGAGATAGGGTCTAATTACTGGCTGGCCAGGGTTAGAGACCTGACTGCTCCTCTGCTACCTTGCTTCTTGATATGGAAACACAAGTAAAATTTAGATACTGAGGTCACCTTAAACCTGCCACCTCTCAGAAATTATCTCTGATTATTTTAAGAATAATAATCATCATGCTCCACACTAGTAATGCATTGACTCAATACCAGCCTATTAACTGCTTTACGTGGATCATCCATCTCTTTATGCCTGCCAACAATCTTATTAGAAGGTATTACTTATCCATAATTTATGGAGAAGAAATCGGGCACTGATAACCCTGGTTACTCGCTGAAACTAAACTGGCTAGTAGATCCAGGACTGGTAGTGAGGGAATTTCAGGAGCTGCTACTTTGGGGGCTCTTACAGCCCGTTGCGCTCTCGCTGTCTCCCACATCCTATTCCTCGACACAGCGATTCAAACCACACTCCCCGGAAGTCGGAGACAAGTTTTATTTCCCAGCCCTTGACAATTACAGCAAGAATGCGTTCAGCGTTTCTGAACTGAGTTCTACAAGTAGGGATCGCTTTCAACCCACCCGCAACGGGCAGGCGTAGGCAGACGCTGCGAGCACACTCTGAGGCTCTGTCCCCTCTGCAGCCAGTTTTCAGGGCTGGCCGCCGCCTCTTCCTCCTGCTATAAACCCAGGCCCCACAGCCGCAGAATCTGCAGGTGGAACTACTGGCGGATCCTCGCCTCTGCCCCCGCCTCTGGGGAAAGCAAACCCCTTACCTTCAGTGCGCGGTCCGAGGAAGCACGTGTCACTCAAACTTGGGTGTCGCCATCTTCCCGGAAGTGCACTTCGGTCCTTCTAGGATACAAAAACCATAGAGATGCCCGACAGAGGCCATGCTCCCGGCTGGTTGCCACGGAAACTGGGTAGGTTCCTGGCTAAGTGCGAGCTTCCTCCTCTCTGTCGCTGGAAGCCCGGGCTCTAACCTCGGTTCCGGGTGTCTCTCGGGGACAATCGGAAGCACCCTGGTTAGGTCTCAGGGGCTCTGGGGAGACCCCTCTGTCTCATGGTAATGGGAGCTTTCCATATAGTCACAAACCTCGCTCAACCGAGTCCCGAGAACTCTCCCCAGCTCCTGCAAGACTGGCTCGAGTGCAAGTTAGGAGAGCTTTCCCCAGTCTGGGAGCCCCTGCTTCCTGAAAAAAAATATACTAGTCTGGGGACCTCCTATTATCCAGGCACTTTTGGTCTATAGGAAACCCAAGGAATGCCTCCAGATGGCTGTTTTTACCTAGTTCTGCACCGACCCTAGGTTCCAAATTACATACCCTTAATCTCTCTGTGGGCTAACCTAAAACAAAACAAAACAAACTCCTATATCAGCCATACTTGTTCGATTCGCAGACCAAACTGGCCCAATTTGAAAATCGGCTTTAATATCTACACTGATTTAGATAAATTCATAAGACAGAATAGAGTAGGTCTAAGACCCCTCACACCACATAAATCTCAGCTCATCTTAACCTTTCTAATGATCCCTGCTACTCAGTTTGCAACCTCTCCCAGAGCACAACTTAATTAACTTCCGTCCCCTTCCCCCCAAACGTTCCTGGAGTCATTGGGAAATGGGAAATGAGCCGACTGGGACAGCTTGTCACAAAGGGCAAACAGTGACTGCGGGAACCATGGATCCGGAGCTTCAAAATGGAAACAGGGCAGCCCCCTCCATTTCTTTGCCCCACCCTACCCCAGAACCTAGGAATTTCAGCAGCCTTGACAGCCAACGAGTCAAGGGCCCCCTTCAGACCGGCCTTGGAATGCAAAGCAAGTATCTTTATGCAAGGAAAAGTCCCTGAATGTGTGGGTCCAAACCGTTCTCGGGACTCCTTTTTGCCTTACATTGGTCTGCCTTTGTTTCTGACCACCAGGTACTCTTGTATTTTATAGTTTTCTGTTTAATGGTCTGTAGGTTATTTTATTGACAACTTGATGTCCTCATAAGAGAAAAATAATTCAGGTTGTCTGCCTCCATCTGCAGACAAACACAAACTGGTTATGGATGAAAAAGACCAGATGTCAACAAAAACAAAAACAAAAAACTCAATAACTCCAGCTGTACCTGTTTAAAATAATCACAGCTGGCCTTAAGGCAGACAAGGTCATCAGCCCTTCACCTGAGTGGCGGATCTCTCCTCCCAGCTGGTTGTATGTGATTAGGCCTTATGAGATGCCAAGGCTTTCTGGAAAAACTTGGGTGTATCTGCTAAGACTGAGAATGGGGAGAGAGTTCACCTCTGCAGCAATGGTGATGCTGTTTTATGTACTGAATGGAGGCCCAAGATATCAATGAACGCTTTCCCTTAGGGAAATTTTCTTACAACAAATGGAAAAAAAAATCAAGAAAATTTTACATATATAAATTAAAACAATTAAATATAATTACAAATGCCTAATTCTATCATTTTTCTCCTTCTTCTTGCTTATTTCTGTGTTTACAAAAATGGTCTCCCGTGCTGGATAGATGGCTCAGAGGTTAAGAGCACTTGCTGCTCTTCCAGAGGTCCCGAGTTCAATTCCCAGCAACCACACGGTGGCTCACAACCATCCGTAATGAGATCTGGTGCCCTCTTCAGACCTGCAGGAATATATGCTGTAGGCAGAAAACTGTATACATAATAAACAAATCTTTAAAAAAAAAAATGGTCTCCCATTCAAACCCATGGATATCTTTCAAGCTCTTGCTGAAATCTAAACTTACTTCCTCTCAGAACCTGTGCAACCACAGGGTGGTGCTTTAAAAAACTGAAAAAAATTCCAACCAGGGAAAACATTAACCTAAAACTTGTAACAAAAATGGTTAGTAAGTAAAAGTCTATGTCCAGGTGACCTTAATTTGCTACAGCATGCCATATATGTAACTTGGATTCAACTCCTGTTTAAGAAAATAGAAAGAAACAATAGATATGTTTAAGAAAAAATTAACAATATAAAATATAAAGTATTTTTGGAAAAAAGGGTTAAAATCTTTTAAATAAGAATGGATATTTTTATAAGATGAGACAAAACTTTGTACTAAAAATGAAAAAATAACAGAAGACAAAGGTAGGAAAGTTAAAACCAGGTCTGAGGCAGCTACCTGAGGATGGACCTACGAATGTCAGATGTTTGATGATTATTAGCTTTATAAACATGTAAGTCCTGAGTTTATGATGGTCAGTGTGTATTAGCAGAAACTGACATAAGATGTATGTTTAAAAAAAGACATATGAGCCGGGCATTGGTGGCGCATGCCTTTAATCCCAGCACTGGGGAGGCAGAGGCAGGCAGATCTCTGTGAGTTTGAGGCTAGCCTGGTCTCCAGAGTGAGTGCCAGGGTAGGCTCCAAAGCTACACAGAGAAACCCTGTCTCCAAAAACCAATATATATGTGTGTGTGTGTGTGTGTGTGTGTGTGTGTGTGTGTGTGTGTGTGTTTAGTCACTTGTGCCTTTGCTAACTGTTAAACTTTAGCTGTTTGAAGAAACTGAGCTAAATATATTTTAAAACACTATAATATTTTATAAAGATATACCATAAGAGGATTAGGAAAATGAGGTTCCCAATCTTCCCATGGACTATATTTAATCACGATGTTAAACTATTAATGTTTCCCACATGGTTGTAATAGAGAAGACCCAATAAATGACTGAACTATGCTGGCTAGTGAAAACTCTCTTGTGCTCTTCCACCAAACCAATGGCCTTATGTCTTGTGATTGACCATGGCAAAAATCATCACTCTTGCTAATGCCTATGACAAAGCCTGCAGAAGATTGCTGGGATGTTTTTCTTGCCTGTTCTTTTTCCCCATTAAGGACAAAACTTCCCTACTTTCTTAACTATATGCTCAGTAAAAATTATAACAGTGCTAACAGTCTGTCTCAATTTTTGTATATTACAGATACTGCCTGCCTTGCATGGTGTGCTCCAAGAAGACACACTATCACCAAACGACCATATGATGTTCTTGACCTTTGCCAACTGTTAAGTTTTATTCTGGCCCCTTGGGGGGGGGACCCTCCTGTAAGGAACTCTAACTTCTGTCCCTGCTACATCACGCTTTTTGTAGAATGGAAACAGTGAAGTAAGACTGGTGCCCCAAAACCCCTAAGGCAGCCCAGTGACCTCTGAGAGAGAGACTAACTGGCTTGCGAAAGGGCCTGAAGACACAAGGACCAGACAACAATTTCACGATCAGCTTCCTCCTCCATATGGGCTTCTGTTTCCTCCCACTCTTGCTCCTCCCCTGGATCACTCCTTCCTCCTTATCATCTCCATACTTACATTTGCTCCCTGGCTTTTAAATATTTTACTTACTGAACTTCCCCTAGACCCAAACAAATTGTTCCACTAAGTTCTCGGAATGGCTCTCATCCCACAACAGCTCCATTTGTTCCTAAAGCCTCTGCACAAAGGCCTTTTAGATGCTATGGAGAAACTCTGGCTGTAGTGGACCTTCATACCTTTCTCCCCAGGCCCGATACATTAGTCTTCTGTTTCTCCTGTTGCCTTCCTTCGGTGCCCTGTAGCCCCCTGATGTGTCTGCTAGCTCACTTTGGTGTTGCATTCCCAGCAGTGGGACTAGTCACTGTCACTCTGTGTCTTAGTCACTATGCTATAGGTCTACATAAAAGTTATCACTAATAACCACATGACAGAACCAATAATAGGCTGTGTTGAAATCTCCTCTGCCAATGCCATTAGTCCAAAACTCTTCAGTTTAGCCTTAGGCATATTTTTTTGGACAAGGCCAAACTCAGCCACACTCTTCACCAAACACAAGAATAGTCTCTAGCCACTTACTAATATTCTTCTCCTCTGAAACCTCTTGAGCTGAACAGTCATAGTCTACATTGTTTTCAGCACCACTGTCTTCCCTACTCCTACTAGTATGGCCCATTAAACACTCACCCCCTTAAAGTGTTCAACTGCTTTCCTAATCCAAAGTCTGAAAGTCCACAATCCACCAACAAACCCCATGGTCAGACCTGTCACAGCAATACCCCAGTCCCTGCTAACAACTTCTGTCTTAGGATTTCTATTGCTGTGAAGAGACACCATGACCATGGCAGCTCTTATAAAAGAAATATTTAATTGGGACTTGCTTATAGTTTCAGAGGTTTAGTCCATTATCATCATGGCAGAGAGCATGGTGGTACACAGGTAGACATGGTGCTAGAGAAATAGCTGAGAGTTCTACATCCAGACCTGCAGGAAGAGCCTGTCTTGGGCTTTTGAAACCTCAAAGCCCACCCCAGTGACACACTTTGTTAATCCTACTGAAGGGACCAGCTCCCCACTTTGGCAGCCATTACAGCCGAAACACGTACTTGCCTGACCTTGCCTTGGTCACTAGGAGGTCAGGTGCCTGCCTCATGGCAAGGAACCAATCAGAAGTTAGCTGGTGGTGCTATGCTTTACGGCTCTGGGTGTGCTTTACGGACAAGTGAACAGCAATGATGCGCAGAGCATAGCAACCACCCTGGGAGGGCCTATGGGCCATAACAACCAGTTGACCAATCAACACAGGGCAAGCCTGGAGGCACACCAATCCTGAGCCTGTTTGTACCCCCAGACACTCCCCTTACACTGCCCTATAAGATCTCTATGCAGTGTCTTCTTGCTGTCTTTCCTAGCCACCCGCCATGGTGGATGGGTGAAAGCCCGAGGTAACATGGGGTTAGCTCGTTAAACAACTACAATAAAGCCTCTTGCTGTTTGCATCAAGTTTCTGCCTCTGCATGGTGATTGGGGTGGCCGAGGTCCTGGGCAGAGATCCTGGGGGCCTGAGTCTCTGGGGGTCTTACACTACCAAATGAGAGCAAAGGCCACTGACCCTAATTTGGGTTAAGTTAAGCAAGTTTTATTTTCT